AACCGTTTGGGTATAAATGGTAGAACTGTCTGTGTTAGTGAAACTAGGTACAACTGGTAAAACTGTGTGTGTAAAACTGGTAGAACTAAGACAATATTACTGTTTTTTGCAGGATTCCGACGACGAGACACCAATGCAGCCGTTAAGAATGTACTTCCCACCGAGTCAGTACAACAAGAAGATAAAGCTATCGACAAGGTGCCATATCCATGAAACTTTGTCTCTACTAGATAAAGGGTTGGATATTCCTATGACGAAGAGCGAGAAGGAGTGGTTTGAAGACCATATGCAGTTCAAGCACATATTCCACTTGAAAAAGGACCCAAACCACAAGGTTATGGGAATGTGGATGCTCCTTCTTCGTACGGCTTGCATAGAGAAAAAGAAGAAAGTTTGGTTCGTGGTAAACGGTGTCCCAATCCGGTATGGATTGAGAGAGCATGCTTTAATGTCGGGTTTGGATTGTCGGGCCTATCCGGAGGGTTACATGAACGCGGAAAGTGAAAGGTTCAAGAGGAAGCACTTCAGGGACCTTAGGAGGGTAAGATTGGAAGACGTCAAGGAAAAACTACAGACGATGGTTCCGGATCGTACTCATGACAGGTTGAAGATGATGATACTCTACTTTTTAGTGAGTATCCTTGTCGGGGACACCAAGAACTCGGGGAAGTTAGCGACGCCCATAGATAGCCTATGTCTACGAGCGGTTAACGATCTGCAGTTTTGTGCTACCTTTCCTTGGGGAAGGTACTCGTTTGAGCACATGCTCAAGTCCATCTCGCACACTATGCGCCATTTTGATGGGGTGGTGGAGAAAGAAGGAGCAATTTGGCCGGTTCCGGGATTTTGTATCCCGATGGAGGTTAGTGGTTTGTCTAATCGAATTTCATTGTGATTGTTAACTTCTTTTGTGCTAACATGAATTATATATGTTGTGTAGTTATTGGCTTTTGAGGCGATTCCTTCACTCGGTAATGAATTCATTGAATTTAGGCCAGACGCGGACATAGAGTGTCCCCGGATGTGTAGGAGGAAATTCAAGCAAGGGGCGATGAAAGGGTTTCCTCTCAAGAAGCTAAATGACGTTCTCGGTCAAACTAAGGTTAGTTGTCCAATTCATCGAAACTTTAACTAGTAATTTGGTGTTTTTAATGTGTGTGTGTTTTCTTTTGTTTAAACAGGATATTGTCTCTATCATAGAATGTACCGATGAAGAATCTGTACTGTTGGAAGAAATCATCGACGAAGGTCACGAAGATGATGATGTGCATGATGTTGTGGTTGAGAGTTGGATGAATCTCATTTCGAAAGGTAAGGGTGTGTTTTTCGAAGAGATGTTCGATGAAGATGTGGTGGCCCGGTCAGAAAACGAAGATACCCTTCCTACACCGAGAATAGCCTTCAATACTCTAGAGGCTCAGCTCAACACCCTCCAAGAAGAAGTGAGTTCGAAGTTTGTTATCATTTTCGAGAAGTTAGATGGACTTGAGAAACGGTTTAATGAATTGGAAGCTTCCGTGAAGAGAACGGAAGAAGATGAAGAAACAGCGGGGGAGCAAAAGAAGACGAAGAAGAAGAAAGGTGAAAAACGACCAGCCCCCCTAGAACCCGGTTCAAGACCGAAGACAAGATCGAAGAAAAACTAAATGTGGTTGTGGTGATGGTTGTGAAGATGGTTGTGAACTTGGTTATGTTATTTGTTTTATTATTGTGTTTTTGGTTGTGTAAACTTAACTTATTTTCAGGATTTGGTATTAGTAGAATTACCTAGTACGATTTCAGATTTTCCAAGGAGTTGGTAAAACTAGAAATACTAGTAAAACTGAGTAAAACTTGACTACGGTTTGGGCATAGTATACTAGTAAAACTGAGTAAAACTTGACTACGGTTTGGCATAGTAACACTAGTAAAACTGAGTAAAACTTGACTACGGTTTGGCATAGTAATACTAGTAAAACTGAGTAAAACTTGACTACGGTTTGGCATAGTAATACTAGTAAAACTGAGTAAAACTTGACTGCACAAAAATATAAGATATAATTGCAACACACACTACATAGATTTCACATATAATTAAAACACACACAACATAGACTTAAACTAAAGCAAATTAAACTAAAGCAAATTAAACAACAAATTAATTACTTAAAGCTAATTTTTTCTAAGAGCTCAATTCGACCCACAAGGCTTGACACTACGTCCTTGAGGTAGGAAATCTCTTTTGCATTGCCTTCCAGCTGCAACTTCATTTGAGAGATAAGGAAGTCATGATTTGCGTATTCTCTCAATCTAGTTGTGTGCTCTTCCACGTCCTTCCTCAAGCTTTTGGCATCCTCCTCAATTGCATCAACCCAATATTTGCGCTTGTGTAACCCATCATCCTATAAAGCAACACAACACAATATATAAGTTTGGTGCAGTTTAACCAGTACTACCATTATATCAGTATTACCAGTATTACCTTATAGTGAACACAAGTAAAGTATCTCTTCTTCTCAATTTCCGTTGGAGATGTCTCCTCAACGATATGTTCACCACACGGACATTGAAGAGGAATGCCCCAATCAGAATCGGCTACGGCATAAAGTCGGTCCATATATCTCTTTGCCTCTTTCATGTGTCGATAGTGTGGATCCTCCCCTTGGTAGTATCGCTCCGCCATTGAGAAAGAGAGATTGAGAGAGAGAGAGATAGAGAAGATAGAGATTAAGAAAGAGTGCTTGAGAGATAGAGATTGAGATGTCGAGATTGATGAGAGAGAGAGAAGAGATTGAGATGTCGAGATTGATGAG